GTGGCTAGTCCATAAAAAGATATTTAAGGCCCTCCCTGGTGGCGCAGCGGGTTAAAGCACAGCACTGAGAAGCTAAAGCCTCTTCCGCATGAGTTTGATTCCCGCCTGCCCTGGAGGTGACCACATGGCGTGGCAGACCTCTCCTGGCCCGCCCGCTGCTCCCCTCAGCAGTGTACTTCGTTGATCTGCCTGTTCTGCTCCCCACTCTGTCTCTGGTGAAGCCTCTCACCGCCCCTGAGCCTCTGGCCTGTACCCCAGTTCTGTATGAATAAATAAATAAATCTTTAAAAAAAAAAAAAGATATTTAAGTATTGGTGTGTAGCACCAAATAACTCATTCATTCTGCAATCACTTTTAATTAGTAACATACAAACTTAATGTGTGGAGCAAAATGAAAAGCTCAACTACTGCTCAAGAGACCAGAGCTTGGTTCCCAGCCAGAGAAGCATCACTTATGCCCTGGAGTGGAAACTCCTTGAGACAACACTTTGAGGTCGTTGTTTCTTAATGTTTTCATATAAAAATATACTAATTGGCCCTCCCTGGTGGCCAAGGTACGGTAAGGACACAACACTGGTAGCTGGCTGCAGCTGCTTCAGTATGAGTTCAATTCCCGCTCCCGGGGGGTGACCCACATGGCGCAGCAGACCTCTCCTGACCCGCCCACTGCTCCCCTCAGCAGTGTGCTTCCTTGATCTGCCTGTTCTGCTCCCCACTCTGTCTCTCATGAATCCTGTTACCCCCCCCTGCACCTCTGGCTTGTACCCCAATTCTGTATGCATAAATAAATAAATCTTTAACACAAAAAAAATATACTAACTTGATAAATGCTAACTTCTAGTAGTTTCACAGTGAAAAAGGAACACATATATTAATCTGTTAAAAAGAATAGCACCATGCAAAAGAAACTCCTGTTCCTCTGCTGTAGGAACAAGCCTCTGTCAGCTCACATATAGAGACATTTCACTTCAGAACTCCCAGCCTTTTAGGGGTACTGTACTACTCCTGACAGCCCCAACAGGGCCAGCACCCCTGATTAATTTTTCATCCAACTTATATGAGTTTTCTTAGTGTTAACCACAATCTCAGTTGGGGGGCGGGGGGTGGGGTTGTTAAACTTAACCCCCCCCCAAAAAAAGATGGTCTTTCAGGAATGAAAAATAAATGCAATCTGAATCAATATTTATGAAGTTGTGATTAATTGACTGATGACCAAATGATTACAAAACGTCTGTCTGAAACATCTACTCAAATTTATTAGCTTTGACCAAAAAAATTAAAAAACAATCTGAACTCAGTCAATGAAAGAATAATGCATTCCTAATCAATTTTTAATAGCACTTAAGATTTTATATTTTTTTAACTTGCTTTTAAATAATTTATCACAAAAATGAATCTGATTTAAACAAGGGGTAAAAGGTGTTCCATAGCTATTTGATGGTTTTCTTAGCAAAGAAATTCAATTATGACTGACTTTTTATTACTGAACTACTTTATTAATAATAATACATCTTGCACTTACACAAAGGCATCAAGCCAAGAATCTTAGAAAGTCCAAGTCAAACCTAGTATTTAACGCCAATTTTAACATTATCTGGGGGTTTCCTTAATCTTTCCTTATCTGTGAAAAGAAAGACCTGTATAAAGATCTCTATAATCCTTTCTAGTTCTAAAAGTTTATAATTCTAGGGACTTAGGAAATAGTATCCTATCCCAGGTGCTAAGTCTGATAGTACTCTTCAGCTCATAGGACTCCCAAGAGGTTCCTGAGAAGTTGAGGAAGACATTAAGCAGAGAGTCAATGAGCCTCATATAATCTTTGTTTTCCTATTAGGGTAATAGCAGTATTACTTAGTGATTTGGGACAACATGAGATGTCAAAAAAAAAAAAAAAAAAAAAAGGAAATGCCCTTCATACAGCACAGAGAAGAGCAAGTTCTGACCTCAAGCTATTTGCATTATTAAAAGCAAAGCGTGGGAATTGGCCTGGAATCAATCTGGATCTAAGGTCCTAATCAGCCTGAATCTCTAACAATATTACTTAGATACATGTGTCTGTGCATGTTTGTGTGTGCCTGCACTCTTGCATGTATATCTGTTTAACCACAGAGCATTAGTGAACAAAGTTATGGTATCAACCTATTTGTAGCTATGAATATAATACACAAACTAAAATGTGTTGCAAGGATATGCTCCAGAATGTTAACAGTGATAACCACACAGGATAAGCACAGAGGAATTTTTGCTTATTATTTTCTATACTTTTTTCTTTTAATTTTATTTATTACAAAGTTTATTTTTACATCATTTTGCACATTTTTTTTTCCATCTCGATTGTAATCCCCGCGGGTTTCCCATCACCAAATCAGCCCTGTGCCACCACCATAGTCCCCTGCATTTCCCTCCCTTCCCCCCCCCCATTTTTGATCCCATTCCCCACTCCACCCCCACAGAATGTCTCTGGTATATGGTTGTTCATTATTTTTGTTATTTTTCTCGCCTGGTCCATTATACTCCTGCTATGAGTGAAACCATCCGGTATTTTTCTTTCTCTTTCTGGCTTATCTCACTAAGCATGATCTTTTCCAGCTCCATCCAAGTTGCTGCAAAAGACATGTGTTTCTCTTTTTTGGTTGCTATTGTATTGTATATATGTACCATTGTATATATGTACCACATCTTTCTAATCCAGTCATCTATTTTATATACTTTTAATGACTTAATTCTCTTAAGCTGAGCCTGTCTGATTCTCTTAATCAGCAAAAAGCAATACAGTTTCCCATTCTGACGTGAAACACAAATAAAGAACCTTTAAACAAAAGAAACAAAAGCAGCCTGCATCTGTAATAAAGGTGTGCTTTAGCGAAGGAAAATATTATCATCTGTTGGATGATCACTTATTACCAGATACTATTGAAAAGATAAAACTCAAGAAACAATCTACTGACCCGACAAATACATCAACAATCAATTAGAAAACAATGATCAGTACAAGAGCTGATCATTGGGGACAGCACTAAACCAGCACTGATCATCTGTGTAACGTGGAGAGGGATCTTGGAAGCAGTATAGATTTTAACATTCTATAATAATTAATATGCGGGTTATGATTTTTTTAATTAATCTTTGTGACTAAGTATTAACACCAATTACCAAGATGGTTCAGAATTGACTTGTCCTAGTAGCAATGGAATTCTTCTTTTTTTAAGTGTCTTCCTGCTCCCAGGGATAAAGATAAAGAAAAATTCTCAGTCCTCCACCCCACTCAGACAGACCCTAAAATATCACCTGAGCTATACGCCTGGACAAGATAATAGGAAAGAACACAGTACCATAGGCAAGTGATCAAATGAGAATGATAGTGAATAATTTGGAGTTTTCCAATTCTGGACTTGAGATCTATAGCCAAGAGCAGGAAAAAATGTATTAGCAAAACACATGAATTCTAGATCCCACATGACTTTGCCTTCAAAAGGTCACGTAGTAACCAAATCAGCCCATTTTTACAGCAGGCATGTTGGGGGAAAAAAAAGCCCATTAAAGGAGAATTAATTTGACTATTTTGCCCAGTTCTCCAACTCCAAGTATATGATGGTCTCTAGTTCCTAGGAAATGAAGTACTGAGACATTACTGCCACCTTTAAGACCATCGTGAACTCGATGTGAGTTTCTTCAAGTCAATTACTTACTAGGAGCTGTAATCTCATCTTCTGGTCCAGGCATAGACATGATAATAAACATACATTGACCTGCTAACAGAGAGAGATAAGAAGCAGAACATTCTCAGTTCTCCATCCCATTTAGGCGGTGGGAATGCAGATCTTAAAATATCATCTTAGGCTTGCGCCTGGGCTTGACGCAAATGATCAAGGAGGAAGCAAAGAAGCAGAAAGGCTAAACTGAATGAAGTCAGTAGACCCAGGAAGCTGTCCCACTACTTCCACTCCTTCAATTCAAGTGCAGGACTCTTTTAACCACGAGGCTACTACTTGTGATTACAGTGCCTCTTTTTCTTAATGATCAGTAAAGGTTGTTCCACTGGTTTTGTTTTGAAATGAACCCAACACATTTGTTAGCATAAATTGGTCACATAGGCTTAGTTACTTTAAGGAAATCCAGTTAAATCCCAAATCTGTTATGTCCAAGACTTGTTTTGGAGCTTTTAGAGTAACCCTTTTTGTTCGGTAAGGAAAACTAATTTACTCGCACACTTTCTCCTTTGGAGTCCAATAGCACAGCGGTACATTTCATAACCAATATGCACCTGAAGTGAAGATTTTTAAAAGCTCGTGAAAATGCATTCATAGTGTGCGGATGGTTAGCACGATTTTCAGCTTTCTCAGTTGTGAGTATAAAGCTGACTCCCGTATCCTCGACCCTTGAGTCTCTTTTGGCTAGAAACCAAAAGGGTCAGCAGCGAGCGTGCTTCATTCAGGAAAAGCTGCGGGGAGACGTCCCAGACACCTCAGAAACAGGAGCTAGTCGCTGATCGCAGTTAGCTGAAGTGACAGCACTTGATTTAAGACTGGGAAGAGAGCTCAGAGTGGCGCAAAGTTGTGCGGAAAAATCAAAGGCCCACATTACGTTTTTCCCTAGTCTTTGACCACAGGGCGTATTCGCAGGCTGTGCGGGGCTTAAACCTTCCAGCGGACCCTCCGCCTTGGGAAAAGAGTTGGGGATTTAAATCGCCTTCCCGCCTCCTCTCCTTTCTGCACCTAGTTAACCTTTCAAAGTAAACTCCTCCCTCCGCATTCTGGGGGATTCTGCAGCTTCCGAAGCCTGGGAAGTTTTTGCGGGGGGTGGGGCGGGGTGGGCTTTTATTTGTTTTCGCTTTGCCTTTCTTTTTGTTTCTTTCGAGGAGCGACGGCGGAGGCCGGGTCCGGCGCGGCGGCCGCGCAGCGGGAAAGCGCGTTTCCGCGCCCTCGCGGCGGGCTGTGGCCCTGCCGGGCTGCCGTAGCGGCCTCGCGCGGCCGGGGTCGGGGAGACTCCGCCGGCGGCGGGACTTCCGTGTTGGCGGGATTCTGAACGCTGCCATGGCTCAGACCGTGCAGAACGTTACATTGTCGCTCACTCTGCCCATCACGTGCCACATTTGCTTGGGCAAGGTAATGGGGGATGCCGGGCACCCCTGGGGAATGCAGTCGCTGCCGGAGTCGGGGCGCCTCGGTCCCCGGCGGGGACCGGGCGTGGGGCGCCGGCTGGCGGAGGCGCGCACCCGCCTTCTCTCGGGTAGCGGGAGGCCGCGTCCTGGGGGCCGCCGGGGGCGCGCGGGGATGAATGGGCTCCGCGTGCGCCCTTGCCGGAGGCTGACAGCGGCCTGCGACGGAAGGGAGGGCGGCGGGGTGCTGCGCGTGGCCTCCCGCGGCGGCTGCGGGCGTCCGAGGAGGCCCGATCGGAAACGCAGCGCAGCAGTACTTCGCGCCCCGTGTGCATCCCCCACGGCGGTGTTAGGGGGCAGGGAAGCGCCGTTCCAGGGGCCTCCCCTGAGGTGGCTGCGTCCCCAGCACAGTCCGCGTGTGTCGTCTTGGGCCTAGCGCGCCAGCTGGGGAGTCTTGCGTTTCCAGGATCCTTTCCTTTCCTCGGCCTTGAGGGTGGCCTCTGCCCTCCGGCTTGGGAATACGAAAGGCGGGTAGTGCGTGCCCCTGACTGGTGTTGAGAGGGGTGTGGATTTTATTTGCTAGAGCAGAACAGTCCCAAAGGGATTACCCACTCTTTTGTGATGCAAGAAGTGCCTCGTGTGTTGGTGGAGCTAGGTAAAGTGTTTCTTAATAAGAGACGGAGTTTGGGATGTTCTGATGCATGTGTCTAATTTATTCCCTTTGTACCTTCTGCTTGGCTCTTAAAAAGAGCATTTCTTTATTATTAAAATAAAAATAAAGAAGATACTATGAACCGATTCCCCACCGACCCCCACGCCCCCATTCTGAATTATGTTTTTGTAGTATTGGGGGGGGGAGAGGAGTGCTTGACCAAATTTGGGGGGTGGCTACACTGCGTGTTTACCCTCAAGCTCAGACAGAAACTACTGCTTAAGGACCAAGATTGAGAAATAAAATGTTTGTTGCACAGAGCAAACATTTGATTACCTGCCAGTATGATCACCTGCCTTAGGAGTTTGGGTTCTGTGCTCAAGAAGTAGTAGCAAGTCAGGCTTGGAAGCATCTCTAGTCTTGATGCCACTCAGAATGAGATGCCGGGCAAACAGTACTGTGCAGAGAAAGGTTGGTCCATTCTCGCTGGAGAGATCAAGAATGGTCTCTGAAAGTTGGTATTTGAGTTGGCATTTGCCTGCCATTCTATTGCCTACATGCAGGATTGCAAGAAGATGCTTAACTGTTTGCTGCAATCTGTGTTGATCTCCTGAAGCCACAATTCCCACGATGTATGCAAATTACCTCCAAGAGCCTTACAGGCTGATAAAAATATTCTTGGAAAATAATTTTCTGTTGGTGCTGGTTGTACTCATTCGAACTAGTTTGCGTTAGCCTACTTTTGCAGTTGTGCATTCTTATGTTTGCTTGAGTTTCCATACCTAGGCTCTTTGTGATTACCCAAGTGAGGCCTAGTAGCATGCAGTGATTTGCAGATTACAGAATGCTTTTAATGCATTTAATTGTCTCCTTGACTCCTTTCACCAGTGCTGAAATGGATAAAGAGGAATGGTTTCCTCATTGTTTCCTCATTAAATAGGGAAACTAAGGGCTAGCATTTGGAATAAAACTAAGGCTTAAGATTTGAACCTCTAGTGTTACCATTCATGTCTTCAGAAAATTAATTCTTCAAACTCAATTTTATTCATGTCAGAAGATACTTTTGATGTTTCCTCCCCTACCCGTTGGTTATCTTTATTCTCAAATATAATTTGAGAATAAAAAGGTAAAATTCATAAACAGGGTCCCTCCCTGGAGGCACAGCGGGTTAAAGCACTGCACTAAGAAGCTAAAGCCATTTCCACATAAGTTCTATCCATCCTGCCTGCCCCGGAGGAGATCCACATGGCCCTGCAGACCTCTCCTGACCCGCCCGCTGCTCCCCTCAGCAGTGTACTTCGTTGATCTGCCTGTTCTGCTCCCCACTCTGTGCCTGGTGAAGCCTCTCACCCTCCGCATCTCTGTTCTGTACCCCAGTTCTGTATGAATAAATAAATAAATCTTTAAAAAAATTCGTAAACAGGCTTTTATTTTTTATGGTCTACTGTGGAGGCAGAAAGATGTGGTTGAGGACCAAATTTCTGTGCTCAGACTGCATGAGTTCTAATCTAGGCTTTCCCCACTCACTGTGAAAAGCTAATCTTTCTCAACCCAGTGTCCTTACTTATAAAATGGAAATTTTGAAAGGGGTAAGTGTTGTAATGTCCCATGCTTAGCATGAAATCTGGCACATAATAAATTGAAGGAATGTTCATCTTTATTGTGGGCACTAGGGCAGGCCCTCAAGCTGAGGTGCCCGTCTCTGTGAAGATTTGTATTCCCAGCACTGTGGGTCTTGTTCTTGAAAGTGCCACGGTCCAGCCCATGGTTTTAACTGGTTTTGTATAATCCTTGCATTTTGTGTAGTGAAAGCAAATCTGATCTTCCTATGCTACTCCCCCTTTCTTGGGTGCTGAAGATTGCAGGTCTGGAGCAGTTCTGATTTCCCTGGTAACCTTCACCTCCCTGACACGCAGCATCTCTGGCCACCTCTGAGATCTGCTTTAATGTCCTTGCTGCCTAGTGTTCTTCTGGTAATCATTCTGTGGTGCCCTCACCATGTATCCCCAAATCTTGCCACCAGCAAGTTCTCTTTTGGTTGTTCAACAGAGTGAGGGTCCATTTCCCCCCAAGTGCTACTGTTTATAAAATATATATACATGCATATTACCTTAGAGGGAGTAGGGAGCGGGGAGACCTTAAAGCCCATTGGTTACTGGCTGGGTGGGGAAGAATGGGGAGGGAAAAGTTGTAGTCAGTGCGCTGTCTTTGGAATGAAAGTGTACTTTAAACAAAGGTGGGCATTTTTCATTTTCTACATCTGTCTCAACCTCAGTGTTATAGGTGGATTTTCTCTGCCTAGTTATTATATGTTTATCAGCCTTCCCAATATTTATTTTTTTAAAGATTTATTTACTTATGCATACAGAACTGGGGTACAAGCCAGAGGTGCAGGGGCAGTGAGAGGTTTCACCAGAGACAGAATGGGGAGCAGAACAGGCAGATTGACTGAAATACACTGCTGAGAGGAGCAGCGGGCGAGACAGGAGTGGTCTGCTGTGCATGTGGGTCAGCTCCTGGTAGGGGATCGAACTCACAAACTCACGCCACAGTGGCTGGTGACAGTTTGATAGCCCCTGCGCCACCGGGAGGCCCTCCCTAGCCTTGCCAGTACTGTAAGAATCTGACAACGTCACGTAGCCATCCTGTGGGGGGATTTTTATGTGAAACGTTCTTACTTTAATTTCCCCCCTACCTTGGACTACGGGGCCAGCAAACAGAAATGTAGAATGATCTGGCCTAGGATAGCTGTAAAATGACATTTTGCTACTGCCCCCAGAATGCTGCAGACCAGCTTTTCTCTAGCTAATTCCAGGCATTTATCTCTGCAATTAGGATTCAAGCTGTGAAACCAAATCGTAGTGGCATGTAATACTTTTATTGACCGTGTCTCTGTTTTGCCGTGAGTGACAACCATGGCTGAAATAATTAAGGATGAAAGTGTTTTCAAGTGTTCAGTGTTAAGCTGGACGATTTCTTACTAAAAAATCTGTGGAAAGGATCCCTTCTTTCAGGAAGGACTTCTTGCTTTGCTTTCCACCCTTAAAGTTGACTGAAAATATTGAAAAGCTGGGCCTAGGGGTAAAGTGTTACTCAGTAAGAGTCCTCATTCTGTCTAGGTTGACGGAGTTCATTAAGCAGTGTTCCCATTGGGGCTTTTGGATAGCGCGCATAACCTTAGAGCACTGACCCATGTTCGTGGTTTGAAGGCCACTCACTTCCAAAGGATGGATTAGAGAGCTGGCCTTGCACATAATTCCTTGCACAAGTCATTTGCTTGGGAAAAAAGCCATATAGAGTACAATTTCTGCATTTTTTTTTGTCTTTTTCAGATGAAAGTATGAAGAATGCAGATACTTTTGGAAAAGTTTTATAGTAGTGGGCTTTTACATACCCTGTGCATAGTAAAAATTAACTCAGAAAAGTGTTGTTATGTCCTAATAGTTGCCAGGGTTGGTGCGTAATAGCTGACATACTGACTTCACAAATGACACTCCGGCTTATCCTTAAAGCATCCTAGGTAGAGATAATGTGGGGGAGGGAAGCCTACTCTCTCTCCATTTATCTAAGCAGGTATGGGGTCCCAGAACAGTAGGGATTAAGTCACTCACTGTTGGAGATCCTAGTTTTAAATTTCTGGAACCTAACTTCTGGCCAAGAGCCAGAGACTACTTAAAACATAGCAGGAGCTATCTAAGAATTTTATTTTGAAAAGTTGCCGCGTTCCTGTGGTTGAGTGGGTAACTCTTCTACAGTCATTCCTACCCTTCAGCCTTTTTTATACTTTCCAGGTGTCATCAGTGAAACCATGGAATTTTGACATAGTTGCAAGAATATTATTTGTTAAAGAAAAAGGATTCAAGGTGGAAGAGTTGATTTTTTTAGTGTAGTTGCTAGCCTTCTCCCGCCTGTCCCTCTACTGATCCTGGTCTCTTGCTGCTTTCAGGCAAAGAATGTGTCCTCTATTTCCTGTTCTCAGGTGATTATTTCTTACCCCTGCCCTAAGGAAGAAACAACTTTCTTAGTTGAAAGAGCACTCAATTTATAGTTGAATCACATTGAATGGTGGTTGAATGCTGGCTCTGCCTCTTACAGTCTCTCTTATTTTTTCCTTGAGTCTCCATTTACACAGCTGAAAATGAATTTAATACTACGTATTCCATTAGGTTGTTGGAAAAGTGCTTCTCAAGGGGTAGGAGTGAATTTCACCCCCAGGGATATTTGGCACTGTCTAAGGAGTTAGATACTTCTGGTACCTAAAGGGTAGAACCCAGGAGTGCTGCTCATTAATCCCACAGTCTACGAGATGGCCTCCTGCAACAGAAAATTCTTTGGCCCAAATGTTAGTAGTTCCA